CAGCAAGCAAACACTTACTTTGTATATAGAGACTAGGTGAGTCCCCGCATACGCGCGAGTTTTATCATAAATTTATTTTGCTTTGTGGTTTTGATTTTTTACCTAATATATTGGTAACTAGGCATGTACCAATATCGAAAAATTAGTAATTTAAGATTGTGAATTGAGATTTTACATCCAATACAAAACTAACTACTTATTTCAAGTAGCTAAACACATAATTTTGATATATTATACATTTAACATTCAATGAAATATAATTGAACAATCTAAACTAATCAATATTTAAGATATTGACTTCCAAGTAACATCTCATTAAAATTATTTTACTGATTGACTTCTTTATAGTTTTCTTTGCGCTGTTTTTTGCTTCAACATTGATAATACTATCATAACAGACTAATAATACCAATTTTTAAAAATAGTAAACCAAAATAAACAACGACACAAATTAATATTCAAGGCCTCAATAAGTTGCAGCTATGAAAACATTGGAGTTCAACTGCAAAACTCATAAACCAGTCTCTTTGTGCATTTTCTGTTAAATCACATGCTTCTGTTGACTGACTTCAAAATGTTTTTCAAATTTTATAGCGAATATTACTTAGAAAAACAAAAACGATGAAAAATATTAAACCTAAAACCCATGTGTCGCGGATCTTCACCTAGTGATATAGAAAACATAGATTCACTATAAGAAGATTGGTGGTGGTTAGCTATATTCAGTTATGTTCCAAGTTTGGTGCAAATCCAGCAAGGTAGAGGACAAAGAAAAGAATGAAACTTAGTCAATGAAAATAGGCAAGTAATTTCTTGTACCTCTTTTTTCTTCCTTTTGTTCTTCATAGACAATGTCGTTAGAATAATTAAATGAAATGATCGATTATTTTAGTTTTTGTGATTCCTTTTTTCTTTGCATTACATTCAATTCAAGTTTTTAACTAAAACAACAACCACTTTGTAAGTTTTATGAGTCTTGGTAATCTTTGATATAAAACGCGTGAAACGACGACTATTCTCTTTCTTCACTTATAATTTCCCCAACATGTACCAAAGTGAAATTCGAAGCTCAATCAAAAAGAAAAACTCAAACTTTACGAGCCAAGGTTCTCTGTTTAGTTGCATATTGAACCACTTTCTCCTCAACGTGTAGTCCTTTCCTGCGTCGTACCGCATTGATGAGTTTCCTCGCCGTGTTTGGAAGCACGCTTGCCCCGTCACCAAACTCTTCAATCTCTTCTTCCGTTTTCGGAACAAAGAACGGATCTTCCTCGAGCATTTCCCAATGACTTAGAACCATTAGAGCACTCGCACCACCAGACGTTCCTTTTCTCAGCTCGTCTGCAAAACCGAAACTTTCAGATACGGGCACATACGCGTGGACCGTGAACAGAGACGACCCTTCTTGCATTTCTTCCTTGAGAATTTTAGCTCGTCTTCTGCTTAAAACCGCGTACATAGGACCAAGATACTCCGGTGCTGTGTTCAGTTCGCAGAAGTACATGGCTTCGACGATCCGTGGATTTCTCTGAAGCACCGCGGCTCTACATGCGTCTTTGACAGCTGTCATGACTTGTCCTGTGAAAATCCCAAAGTTTTCGGGTTGTTTCTCTGTTTCGGAATCTTCTGCGAGATGAGTTTCGATGGTGAAAGCTAAGCCCCACATTGGTTCATCGCATAGCGGTCCTGCTGCAGTCGCTAGCTGAAAACCTGAGACGATACTGCTTTCGAGAGTCAGTGCTTCGCTGTACAATGCTGCTTCAGATGCTTCTGGAGGTTGTTCAGTAGAATCTTCTGTGAAGCCAAGTCTTTGAGAGACATGAGGAGAGCCTCTTACAAGCATTGATCCATCCTCGGCGATTCTTTTACCATCTGGAGCAAATAGTATGTTTGGACCTTTTTCTCTTGGACCAAGAGCCCAAATCCTCTTGAGCAGTTTCGACCATTCGGTTTTAGATTTCTCACGATCCTTTTCGGTTTCAGAACTTGATGAAACACCAGCTTCAATTAACTGTTTCTTCAATGTTTCGATGGGATCCACATTCTCTTCGAGGCTAGGCTTTTGGGATTCTAGTATCTTAACGGTATGACTGCCTTTACCTCCAATTATGTCACCAAGCAAATCCGTGTTCTCATCGAGCAGCTTTGTTAACGCATGCGGTAGTTTCATGACGTGTACTCTGATAACGCATCTGCCATTTGAAGTTCTCTTCTCGATGTAATCAGAAGTATTCAAGCTTAAAGATCTCAAACTATCCAAAAGATGAGATCCATCACCTTCAATGGTCTCCCTGTAGGACACAAGAGGCGGAGAGACTTCAAGGTTCACTTTTGCAAATCTGTCTTTCAAATCCTTAATACATCTTTCTAGATGAACTTCTCCAGCAGCAGCAAGCACGTGTTCTCCTCTAGCAGACACCGTGATCTCCACAAACGGATCTGCTCGGTTCAGAAGTCTTAGACCTTTCATCAGAGAACTCATATCTGCAGGATCCGACGGTTCAATCGCCACTCTAAGAGTAGGAGAAACCTGAAACTCCATGCTGGCTAAGGGCCAACAGTTTCTAGTCGATGAAAGTGTTGCACTTTTTGATATATATGGTCCGAGCCCTCTTATGGCCACTACATTTCCAGCTTTCACCTCGTCTACAGGTGTTAAACCTTGTCCCATCATAAGATATAGGGAATGGAGTTCTGCTTCTTGAATGTACTTGTGAGACGATTCGCCTTTGAGAGGATCATATAGAGCAGTAATCACAAAGATTCTTTGCCCTGCACAAAGAACCCCGCTAAAGATCCTAGCAAATGCAAGGAAACACTCATCTGACTCACTTTTACTGTCCTCATCATTTAAACCATTCATCCTCTCCCTGTGATTCCCATCTTGAGGAATCATTTTCATGGGAATAGCAAACATTTTAGACACAAACACAACACAAGGGGTGTTACGGCTAGAATCACAAGCCTCAATTGATTTTCTAACAAGCTCTGCTTCTGCAAGGACATTTGAATCAACATCATTACCACCGATAATTTTCCTTTCTGGAACCAAGCGTGGGATTCTATATGCCTGTGCTGCAATGGGATCTGGCAGATGCTTCACGGCCATAGACAAGACTGCATCAGACAAAGGAAGCCAACGGCTCATCACCGATTGCAGCACGCTTTTTGGATCCTTGTTCTGAAATTCCCGTGGTGGAATAGACAGACTGAAGGATTTTATAACTTTCTCAAGAAAAGCTCTATCCCCACCGGAATCTAATGCAGCCTCGTAAACCTGCCACAAAGGCTCAAGCACAAACTGCACAAACATTGGTTTTGTCTTGCTTCCTGCACTTAAAGACTTCTTCCCTACAATCATCTTAGTCTTAGGATTATAATAACGAGGACCCCATAATGATTTCTGCAACGCAGTCGCACTAGCTCCAAGCTTGGAGGCATAGAAATTAGCAAACTCAGAGATCCCGAAACCCCACCCGTCCAGAGCACACACAAAGACCACATTACCCTTCTGAGGCTGAAAAGTAACTTCTTCATCATCTTCCAACAACTCAAGACTCTCAGCAGAAAGTTCACCTGAAGGACTCGCAAGTATAGAGTCAACATCCGACAAATACTTCTCTGACTTATACGCGCTCACGATCCCGTTAACCTCATGAACAATCCTTATCAAGCGGGTATATGCTTCCATGGGGCTCAACTTCAACTCACAAATCAACCGATCAATCTTGTTAAGAACCAAGCAAGGTGTCAACTTCTCGATCCAAGCTTGACGCAAGACAGCATGCGTCTGAATGTGGACACCTTCAACAGCATCAACCAAAACCAAAGCTCCATCACTGAGCCGAGCAGCTGTTGAGACTTCACTACAGAAATCCATGTGGCCAGGGGAATCAATCAGGTTTAGAGAATAGTCTTTATATCGAAGAGAAATTGAAGAGCTCTTCATGGTGATTGCACGCCTCTGTTCTTCATCGAGATAGTCCATGTACCTAAGCTTCCCGGCAAGTCTCGGGTGAAGCACACCGCCACCAGAGGAAGCAATCAGGTGGTCAGCGAGGGTTGTCTTACCGTGGTCTACATGTGCTAAGATACATATGTTCCTAATTTTCCTACCATCAGACTCATCCATCTCTTCCCTTTATACAAAAAAGAAACAACCTGCAGATGAACATCTATCAATCAGATTGAATACTCTATGAAGAACAAGCATCCCAATCAACGAAAGACGATCACTGCAGTATTTCTATATGTGGTATAATCATGGAAGCATCAAACGAAGTTATTGTCGAATCCAAGTCCAGCTAAAACCTTGTGAGAATGAACTTTTATAAATCATATGATAAAACAAAACCATCCTAGAAAAAAAAAATTCAAACAATTCTTATGATTATAACAAAGAAGGCGCAGAGCAGACTGCGAATCGAACCTACAGATTTCTGCAGTTTTCATAGAACCAGAAAACGATCAAAACGACAGAGATGCACGTATCACGCGTTGGGAAATTTCAAACAAAATCGACTTCGATTCCAGAGCTCAATTCAAAAAGTGAGAACGAATATTGATATCGGAAATTACCTAATCCTTTAGTCGAGCTCCGGAAGCAGAAGTGGAAGCGATTTCCTCGATTTTCTCCGGCGAGATTTCTTTCCTTAAAGAGCTTCTCAAAA